GCAGCTCATTCGCATTTTTCGGCGCATTCCTCGATGGAAGTTCGGGGAAAAAATTAAACGATGAACCCACCAAAAAAAAAATTTAAATAAAACTCGCACAGCATATATTCATAAGTTAGACTTACACCGCCTCGTAAATTAATCACCTCAGTATATCAGCAACACGGACACAAGGAAAAAATCACACACACACAAATCCGCAAAACAAAAAAAAAGTTTCACTTGAAGGAAATAAAACTCGCCGCCCTTCGCAAAATATCTCTCGCCATCATCAGACCGCACGACGTGGTTCATAATGAAGGCAAACATCTTCTCCTTCTTTCTCTCTTTTTGTCTCGTTTTTTTTTTTCTTAAATTTCTCAATACAAGACTGTGTGTAGTGAAGTTCTTCTCGCACGAATTTTCCGCTTCTGACCTGAAAGGTGGACGGCTAGAACTATATATCACACAGCGGTGGGCATATATCCACTGGAGGTTTTTTCCGCGATCCCGAGAAGGAAGAGGGGAAAATGAATAGAAATAAAAAAAAAAGACTATGGAATAAGAACAATAAGTTGAGGGGCCCCGAGGAAGCAGGCGATCATCATACCACAGGCGAAAAAATTCCCTGGGTTTCGTGTATTGCATTCCTGGGGCGTGTTTCCGTTTGCACATCAGCTTCAGCAATATAAGAGCAACACAAGTTTGACAAGGTTTCGATCCCTGATGCTAGAGGAATTCTTGATATAAACCTTTTCGAATGCCTTTCAATTAGAAAACTGCTTTATTTTATTTTATATTCGTTTAGAAAGCGCGCGAATTTTGATAAGTTTTTATTGGCAACAGTGCCGTTGTTTTGAAGCCTCAAAAAGAGCAGCAGCATACAATGATCCGATTATTATTTAAAATTTTTCGAAATGGAGACTTTTCACACAACAGACTATAGTATGTTGCACAAATGAAGTTCTCTTGTGCGGGGGTTGACTGTACTGAAATGGGAATTCCTCCAAGTTAACCCACATGATTGCTTTTGTGTGTGATACAAACGGATTCAACTTCAGCTGCATCCTTTCCGAATTTTATTTCTTTAAATTTTTTTAATCACTCAATTTGAAACGATTCATTTGTTTTCAGGACAAAAGGACATTTACTTTTGGGATATAATCGTATATAAAAATATATATTCTGCGAGGAAAACCGAGGTGTGTTACGAATACGTGGCGAGTCATTCCGTTTTGACGAGTGGGAATGGATTAATATGATTCATTGATTGAAGCAAATAATAATTCCCTCGTGTTGATCGTGTTCTTGTGTGTGTTTTTGTGTGTGCGTGTGGGTGTGTGTGCGTGTGTGTGTGTGTGAGCAGGCGAGGATTTGAGCAAGTGGTCGTCGACCGGCGACGCGTGTAACAGCTGTCTCCGATCAGTGCCGCCACCGCCGCCGCCACCACCACAACAACAACAACAACTACTACCACCGCCGCCGCCGCCGCCTTATTCGTCGTCGACTCATTCCTCGCGTCCGGCGTCCCGGTCCCCGGATTCCACATCCTCGTCATCCACTGCTGGCTCGTCCACGTCATCCCTGTCGTCTCTCTGCGTCCGTGTCAACCGCCTTCTCAATTCGTCGCTGGTCGAGAAGGAACAGGCGTTCCGGCGCCACCAGGTACGTCGTGTGTCGCCGACGGCGGTGACCCGCAGCAGCGGCGGCGCCAGTGTCGACGAAGACCTCGGTGTCGCCTCTTTGTCTGCTGTAGCAGCAGCAGAGGCGGCTGTTGCTGGGGTCGAAGAGACCCAGTGGCGGAAGTTTCGGGCCGACGGTGTTGTCGCCTGCAGTGCTGGAAGACCGCCACCGTCGTCGTCATCGTCGTCGTTGTCGTCGGTGCCGTCGTTGCTGACGACGGCACAGTTTTCTGCCCGGGAATTGCGCCTTTTTGACGACGTCGACGACGACGACGACGACGCGGATTTCGCACCGGTGGGTTTCTCTTCTTTGTTTTGTTTCGCCAAAAATTTTGCTCAAACGATACCAAGCAAATACACTGTACAGTACAGTACAGTGAGACCCCCACATGCGGACACCTTGATATGAGGACAATTCAACATAGGGACATCCAATTTTTTAAATTAAAAGGGCATAAAATAAAGTCCAAGATACAGACACTGGCTTGGCATGAGGACATTGCATGATACAAATTGCCAATAAATTTCACAAAAATTGACTTTCATTTGGCTTAATTGCAAGAAACAGATATTTACAACTCTAAGATTCATGCAAGAAAAATTATTTGTCATTTCCCCCCTTCATTTTTCCATCCATTCAGCTAATTAAAATAAATACCTATTGCACAGTTTGACTTCCTTCTCTCTTTGTGAGTTGAATCATATTTTTGTAGATGCAAACATTTCAATGTACCGTACAGATATACACTTTTAAATGCTCCAAATGTTCTTATTGAGTTGAAAATATATTCACTGAATAAAATTAAAGTGGCAAAAAATTTTCATGAAATTCTGAAGAACATTTCTTACATAAAACATCAAATAAAATTATATAATTTAAGTCTATGGGAAAACAAGACTTGACTTATGGACAATTCAACTCAGGGACACTCTTGATGCACCAATTATGTCCACATCTCGGGGTCTCACTGTATATACAGTAAATTAATATGGAATATTTGATGAAATTAATGCCACAGCAGATAAAGTCCACAATACAGTGGCCCCCCGCCTAACATGCCTCCCGTGTAAGGGATTTTTGCCAAACAGACCAGCTCTGCAAGCAGTTTTTCCTCCCACCCAACAGACAAAATCCACCAAACAGACTTCTTTTGGTTTAAAATTAGTGTTGAAAATTGAAATTTTTAATTTTTCATTTAATTGAATTCGTGTAAAGGACTTTTCGTCTAACAGACTCATCCCTTGCACAAATCAAGTCCATTAGATGGGGGTTGACCAAGGCATCCCAGCATTAATCACCGGAATATGCAGGGAAAAAAGACGAAATGCTAATAATTTCCAATACTGCAGGTGACGGTGAACTCGTCGACGCGGCAGCTTCTCGAGGATTTGGTGTCGACAAACGGGCTGGTCGACAGTGGATCAGACAACACCACCACCACCACCACCGGCGCCCACGACCGCCTAAAAGGCGTCAACGACAAGCCCGCGTCGGGTAATGAACCCACCCGCAACATGATCCAGACCGCACCTGTGCACCCGCACCATGCTCGCAGCTTTCAGGTCAGTGCCGTTTAAGCAAAAATCTTTTTTTTTTCTTGTGCAAAAGTTTGCGCACGATCTTTTGATTATACATTTTTTTTTCGTTTCGGAGTGTGCGTACCCCAAAATAGGGAAACGTTCTGCTTGGGGTTCTACGAATAGACGAGGAAGTTTCATTGCGCCAAAACTTGTACAACCACAACAAATACACGCATATTTTTGAAAAATAAATATTAAAAAAGACCCATAAAACCAAAGCATCGCAAAATAATTAACCTCGTGTCTCCCCTGGAACATGGATTCCATGCATAAGAAAAAAATCTCCATGTCGTCCATTTCGAAAATTTATGCAAAAATTGTCATCCTGGTTTTTTCATGCTCCAAGTTTGATTTTTTTTATCAAGCTTTCTGCTTCCGGGAACCGAAAAGGATTCCTTATTTCCGTGTCTTTCAGAATTTTAATATGCGGGAAAATAGGAACGTTGATTATTGAAAAACAAAATTCAGCTGTTTATTGACGTACAATCCCCTGGATATGACTGTGATTGGCTTGAAAATATCGCCTTTCGTATTGCGAAGTCGTTCATTTTTTCCTCCGGGTTTGAACACCGTTTATTGCTAATTCGGTCAAAAGAAAAACGATTTGACCAAGAACATAAGAGTTCATTGATCTCAGAATTTCGCGGAAGGAAAAATGAGGAAAAATATTTCCAGATACTCAGGTTGCCCAACGTCCGTTTGTAAAGCGATCGGCAGTTGTGCAAAAAAATTCTCGCGGGGGTCTATTTATTTACCCACCCCTGGAAGGAGAGACTGGACGAGTCAACAAAACTTCCCTACTACTATCCCCAATTCTCTATACAGGCATACATGCCTTCTTTTTTTTTTTACATTTCTGAAACCTTATTTTTCTTTTGGTCTACGTCGGAAGCCGGGAATTTTCGGGGGTGTAAATTGGCCCGAGTTTGTCTGCCAGGGAAAGCAGGATGCGTTTCCGTCTTATCTCCAAATATTGGATTGAGGGTCTCACCTTTTTTTTTTTTTTTTTTCTTCTGGTCTCGAGGCAAATTATTACGTGACTTTTCGGCCAACCGTCGTTCCTGTTGTTCCCCAGAAATTAGTCCTATTCTTACGGGAAAGAAAAGAATATTCTTTTGTACAGAATGTTCCGAAGGTGAAGAAGACCCGACTTTGCAGAAATTACTCTGTACTGGACGCGCCAGGCAGAAATATTTTCAGCAACAGGAAATGATGGAAGACGTGCCTTTCCTGGTTTGCTCATCAATAAATGACACAGAATTAGAAAAGTATTTTCTGGTTGAAACCGCGAAATTTACTTGAGTCCAATGAACGTACGAGGGTTCCAAAAAAACTTCTCGGAATAGAAATAAAAACGGGTTACAATTGAGATGAAAAAATTATTCTTTAGGGAAAACATATTCTTTGGCACAAGAAAAAAATCAGGCCTGTTTGAAAATTTTTTTGGAATGTTTTGCAAAATTCACTCTGGCAGAGTTTTGCTCTCCCCTCAAAAGATGAGGCGCCCTTCCTGCAGATTTTGTTGGTGTAGCCCAGGTTTTTCCTCAGAATTATTGGAATCAACGTGGCATTAATTCCAAGGGTTGCTTCCAGGTATTCCAAGGTAATTCCGCCATTTTCATCAACAGACTGAAGGCGGCTATTCCGAGAATTTTTGTTAGAACCTTCGTATTTTGAACATCCAAATGTCAGAAACATGAAGTAGCTATTGCTATTTTAACAAATTCATGGCACTTTAGTAAAAAATTCATCCAACTCTCAAAGGTTTCTAAGTGGTGTAGCTCCTGCTCTTTCTCTTCTCATGTCCAGAATTTCAAAGAGATAGACATCAGCTTACAAAAGATTTAAAATTACTAAAATTCAATGAAGAGACACTTTCAGAACTCTTAAAGGATCAAGAAAAATTTTTGGCCTTATATGATTTCTCATCAAATATTCTCTCTAAATTGTTCATTGAACTAAAACTCATACAGAAACAGGCTGAAGACCTTGTGCTTTAAATAAACTTTTATTGCTGCTTTGTCTTCAATATTGGGGATGGGTGGGTGTATGCAACATACGTGTAGGATGTCCAGTTTTATTTTGTGGAGTGTGTTCTCTTTTATTTTTGTCATTTGTTTGTGCTTTGTTTCATGCTTTGAAATGATTGAATGTATTTGGTGGAGTTGGGTTGGGTGGGGAGGGGGTTTGGATGTGGGAGTTCTGGTTATTCCTTGTGAACGCTGAAAAGCGGCAAATGAAGTTTTCTGTTCATTCATTCATTCAGATATACACTTTTTTCCTTTATCTGATAACAAAAACAAGATGTCAGGAATAAGAATTGCAGAAAAAGGCAATTATTAAACCCAACTTGAAGCACAAGATGCTTTGTTCATTGCTCCCAGGTAAGGTTTAGTTGATTGAACAAGTAGGAGAGAATCTTTTATCAACAATCATACAACATTAACAGTTGATCTTGGTCCTCTAAAATTTTTGAAAGAGCCTTTTCATTGAATTTTAGGAGTCCCAAATATTTTTGAAGCTAATTCCTGTAGCTAAAGAATGCTGGGCATAAGGAAAGAAGGTTCTCTTGTGTGGTGCATTAACCAATGTACTGTATTGATACTACATAAATAACACCACTTAGACACCCTGGAAAATTGGATGAATTTTTCATTAAAATGCCATGAATTTGTAAGAAGAGCTATGTGATCATTAACCAAGGGGATGTCAAATGATGCAAATAGTAATGGTTTAGTTTTACCACATGCAAGATTGGATGTTTTAGTCTCTGTGATTTCAACTGCAGGTGAGGTTCAACTGTTTGCTTTGGGTTGAATGCAAACACTTGATCAAGCTAAGTATAATGAAAATACCTGTTTTGTAGAATATATGTGACTAGGCTGTCTCTGCTGATTATGTTGCAGAACTGCTGATGGAAGCTTTTCTACTCCATAATATGTTGGTCCAGGTGTCTGCACATACTCATCATATATTGCACCTTCATATTCATCAAACTCTGGATAAAATTCTTCTGGAAGAAGCATGGGACCTGAGACAGTATTTTGAAAATATGCTCTTGGTTTAGAAATCTTCCTGCTGGAGAAGGCATCCATGCCTGGAATTGTTCCAGTCTTGATGAAAATAACCAAAAATGAAAATAATTCAAAGGCACTGACTTTTTCGTCCATCATTGGGATCCCTCAAAACATCTAGTTGCCTCTGTAATTCCTCTTCTTTTTTGGTCAAAACCTGTACAATGTTTTTCATTCCGTTTCCTGTAAACATAGATATGAGTATGGAAAGTAAAAAAGTGTCAGTTCATAGATCTCACCGGACCAGGCATCATCCAGGAATTCAGGTATTTTGTGCTCATCAGCCTCTCTAGTGACTCTACCTGGGGCCACCAAAGGATTCAGGAAATTATGATTGGCTTCATTTATAAATGCAGTAATACCTTCATGTTGTCCAATTGACTTTCCAGCATCACTCTCAACCTGCATCTTTTCATTGACTGTTTCATCTGATATTTCAGCCATTCTTCTCTGCACCTGCTCTTCAACAATCTTTTTATGAAAATCATTCAAAAATGATTTTCAAGGCAAAATTGGTGCATGCTTGGTAATCTAACCTTTTTGTTTGCAGCAAAAACACAAACTCCTCCATCAATCTTCTTCTCACCATTGATTGCAGGAATGACACAAACCCCATTTGAAGCATGGCAATCTTCATCTTTGAAGCATGCTGAGCTGAACACTAATGAGTCCTCCAGTAGTGCAAAAACCCAAACAAAGACCAGAAGAACCTTCAGAGGTTTCATGTTCAAGATTAAGTAAAATGTCTGCTTTTAGTGAGATTTTTTTTTTCTTAGCTTGGATGTGAGTTTGCTGATCTGGATCAGAGGTTATAAGTAAAACACTCAAGCACCATCAGTTCTGGCATGCTCTTTTTTATTTTCACACATCTGAGGAGAATGATAATCAGTATCTCAGATTCTGCTTCTGCCATTTTTGATTCCATAAAATTATGTACAGAAGCAGGTGCAATTCATTGAAAGGAAAAAAATGGGTTATGATTGCTTTCTGGATTGTTGGAATTTCAGGGATCACCAGGCAGTCCTGCGATCCCAGGGGACTCTTTTCTTCTTCTGGCTTCTAGGAGCAGGTTCTTCACTGGAGCTCCTGTACTTGACACCTGTTGGGGGTTGGCTTGAGTATCTGGATCCTCTGGAAACTTCACTGCTGCTCCTGGTCATAGTCTGGGGTGGTGTGAGTCTTGGCAACTTGGCCACTGTGCTTTGTTTCCCATTGTTGGATGAAGGAAGGTTGGATGACCTGCTTGAAGCTCCTGACCTCATTTCAGAGCTGGATATGGAAGGGAACCTGCTCTGGTTGCTGTAGCCAGAATCAACTGCAAATATTCAAGAACATTCAAATCAGTGTTTTGTATAAAATTAATCATAGCTGTGTCTCAAGCTAAGAATTTACAGTATTCATTCCAATTGTTGGTCTATAAAGGGTTTGATATTAACACTAAAAGGAACAGTCATCATGGTGATGTGGACTGGTGGAAAAATAANTGAAAATACCTGTTTTGTAGAATATATGTGACTAGGCTGTCTCTGCTGATTATGTTGCAGAACTGCTGATGGAAGCTTTTCTACTCCATAATATGTTGGTCCAGGTGTCTGCACATACTCATCATATATTGCACCTTCATATTCATCAAACTCTGGATAAAATTCTTCTGGAAGAAGCATGGGACCTGAGACAGTATTTTGAAAATATGCTCTTGGTTTAGAAATCTTCCTGCTGGAGAAGGCATCCATGCCTGGAATTGTTCCAGTCTTGATGAAAATAACCAAAAATGAAAATAATTCAAAGGCACTGACTTTTTCGTCCATCATTGGGATCCCTCAAAACATCTAGTTGCCTCTGTAATTCCTCTTCTTTTTTGGTCAAAACCTGTACAATGTTTTTCATTCCGTTTCCTGTAAACATAGATATGAGTATGGAAAGTAAAAAAGTGTCAGTTCATAGATCTCACCGGACCAGGCATCATCCAGGAATTCAGGTATTTTGTGCTCATCAGCCTCTCTAGTGACTCTACCTGGGGCCACCAAAGGATTCAGGAAATTATGATTGGCTTCATTTATAAATGCAGTAATACCTTCATGTTGTCCAATTGACTTTCCAGCATCACTCTCAACCTGCATCTTTTCATTGACTGTTTCATCTGATATTTCAGCCATTCTTCTCTGCACCTGCTCTTCAACAATCTTTTTATGAAAATCATTCAAAAATGATTTTCAAGGCAAAATTGGTGCATGCTTGGTAATCTAACCTTTTTGTTTGCAGCAAAAACACAAACTCCTCCATCAATCTTCTTCTCACCATTGATTGCAGGAATGACACAAACCCCATTTGAAGCATGGCAATCTTCATCTTTGAAGCATGCTGAGCTGAACACTAATGAGTCCTCCAGTAGTGCAAAAACCCAAACAAAGACCAGAAGAACCTTCAGAGGTTTCATGTTCAAGATTAAGTAAAATGTCTGCTTTTAGTGAGATTTTTTTTTTCTTAGCTTGGATGTGAGTTTGCTGATCTGGATCAGAGGTTATAAGTAAAACACTCAAGCACCATCAGTTCTGGCATGCTCTTTTTTATTTTCACACATCTGAGGAGAATGATAATCAGTATCTCAGATTCTGCTTCTGCCATTTTTGATTCCATAAAATTATGTACAGAAGCAGGTGCAATTCATTGAAAGGAAAAAAATGGGTTATGATTGCTTTCTGGATTGTTGGAATTTCAGGGATCACCAGGCAGTCCTGCGATCCCAGGGGACTCTTTTCTTCTTCTGGCTTCTAGGAGCAGGTTCTTCAGACCTCGAGGACATGAACTGTGGACAACCCCCAACCGAACTCATAGACCTAGGAGACCTTTGAAGTGACGACGAGGACCAGTATCAGACCCCACCACACTCAGAACCGTTGAACCGGTGACACGAAACTTTCCCATTGTTGGATGAAGGAAGGTTGGATGACCTGCTTGAAGCTCCTGACCTCATTTCAGAGCTGGATATGGAAGGGAACCTGCTCTGGTTGCTGTAGCCAGAATCAACTGCAAATATTCAAGGACATTCATATCAGTGTTTTGTTCAAAATTAATCATAGCTGTGTCTCAAGCTAAGCATTAACATTACTCATTCCAATTACCCAGCAATTGATTGGGGTCAAATTGCAGGGCACCACCTGTACAGCAAAATATTACTGTATTCGGAATTAATTGAATGCCTCACTCATTTGAGCTGGCTTTCCAACTTTCCTTCATTTGGGATATTTGCAATGTGTTTCCTATAAAATGTTTCTTTTGTGATTCATGAGTACCGCAAGCACTATTTTTTCCCTGATTTCATGCCCATACATTAACACCCATTTTCAACCAAGAAACAGAAAAAGCTGTGCATGGTTTTCAATTGTTTACAAGTAGTGAATACCCAACATTTTCATGCCTTTTTAAGGTTTAACTATTGGAAACTTGCTTTGTAGTTTATCATATATAAAAAATTTGTTCACTGCTCAGAATATTCAAGGCATCAAGTTTTATATATTTGGAGAAATGTCTATTGGGGTACTGCTCTGTTCATCTGTCAGATTTGGCACTCAGACAAAATTATTTTAAAAGTCTTGTCCTTCAACTCTAAATGGAGTAATGTTTTGCAGCAACAGTGTTACCTGAAAGCAAACTGCTTGGACTTGCTGGATTCTTTGCATCAGGAGTGCTGATAACATTCTTTGGCTTCCTGCTATGATTTGGACAGGAATTTCTTCCCAATAAATGTTGCCTCCAGCCCTCTTCCCAAGGCCCAATTGTTTGGTGACACAATGAACAATGATTCCCTTGTGTTGCAGGAGGAGCAACTATTCTCAAAGCATTAGTAACCATCAGTATTATTTTGTCTTTATAGGACTGGAGCTCCTGTACTTGACACCTGTTGGGGGTTGGCTTGAGTATCTGGATCCTCTGGAAACTTCACTGCTGCTCCTGGTCATAGTCTGGGGTGGTGTGAGTCTTGGCAACTTGGCCACTGTGCTTTGTTTCCCATTGTTGGATGAAGGAAGGTTGGATGACCTGCTTGAAGCTCCTGACCTCATTTCAGAGCTGGATATGGAAGGGAACCTGCTCTGGTTGCTGTAGCCAGAATCAACTGCAAATATTCAAGAACATTCAAATCAGTGTTTTGTATAAAATTAATCATAGCTGTGTCTCAAGCTAAGAATTTACAGTATTCATTCCAATTGTTGGTCTATAAAGGGTTTGATATTAACACTAAAAGGAACAGTCATCATGGTGATGTGGACTGGTGGAAAAATAAGGAACCATGTATTTCACTCTAGAACTACTTGCTCCTGAGTAAATTGTGCACCTGAGTTTTGGAGTGCAAATTTGGATTAAAAAATATATCTCAAATTTTGAATTGCATCACATTTTTTTTTTTCAATAATCCTGTTTGAAAACTGTATACAAATTTCAGCTCAGATCTGGTATGGATTCAATGAATGTTTTCATGTTTTTTCATATTTTTCAGCTGCCATATTATGTCAACTATACTCTGCTTTGATCATTGATTTTGTAAAAGAAATGAAAAACTGTAAAGTAAATGTTTTGGATGATTGTGCAATACATACTAGTGTACTATACCTATAGGAAAGGTAGACATTTACAGGTGGTACCTTCAAATTTGAAATCCTGCAGTTCAACTGTCCCATGATTTAATGGTCAAATTTGCTGGGATGTTGACTTGTAATTCAACTTCTTGCCCCACAATTTGACCTGCAGAGAAACTCAAAATGTCAAATTAGATGTTGAAAACATCAAATTTGACATTTTGTGGCAATTGGTTTGCTTTGAAATTTGATCCTTACCCAGCAGCAATTGATTAGGGTCAAATTACAGGGCCCCACCTGTACAGCAAAATACTATTAGGAATTAATTGAATGCCTCACTCTTTTGAGCTAGCTTACCAACTTTCCTTCATCGTGGATATTTGCAATGTGTTTCCTATAAAATGCTTCTTTTGTGATTCATAAGTACCGCAAGCACTTTTTTCCCCTGATTTCATGCCCATACATCAACACCCATTTTCAACTAAGAAACAGAAAAAGCTATGCATGGTTTCCAATTGTTTACAAGTAATAAATATCCAACATTTTTCTGAATTTTCAGGTTTTACTGGTGGAAACTTGCTTTGTAGGTTATCATATATAAAAAAATGTGTTCACTGCTCAGAGTATTCAAGGCATCAAGTGTTATATATTTGGAGAAATGTCTATTGGGGTACTGCTCTGTTCATCTGTCAGATTTGGCACTCAGACAAAATTATTTTAAAAGTCTTGTCCTTCAACTCTAAATGGGGTAATGTTTTGCAGCAACAGTGTTACCTGAAAGCAAACTGCTTGGACTTGCTGGATTCTTTGCATCAGGAGTGCTGATAACATTCTTTGGCTTTCTGCTATGATTTGGACAGGAATTTCTTCCCAATAAATGCACGGAGGTCGGGAGAAGGGTTCCGGGTTAACAAACCACTGTGTTACTTGTTACTAAGGGAACACAACGTCCTCCTCGTTGATAAGAGTTTCGTAATCATTGGTAGTCATAATAAAACAGAAATATCCAAAACATTTTTATGGACAGCAACAAACTCACTGGGATGAGGTTTTGTTTGCACATGCTGCTCAAACAGCTTCTTCTTTATTGCTTCTCCACAATATGGGCATCTTCTGTATTGGGCAGCTGCTGGACACTCTCCTGCAAAGGAATGTTATTTTTATTGATAGACAAATGGTCCAACCAAAGGTTTCTTTTGATAGTTCATCTTTTTAAAACTAACCCAGAAGATGGGGTGCAATGCTGGACACCTCAATGACTTGCTTGCAGTGCTCACAGAGGGACAACATGGGACAGGACTTCCAGTAGTGCAAATTGATCTTGTCTCCCACAAACTCAGGATTTGTTTCTCCACAGAATATGCAAGTTCTTTAGTAAGAAAAGGAAGTCAAAGGATCAAAAGTGAGTTTTGTGATTTTTTTTCCATTTGTAAACTCACGCCATTTCTTCTTGCAAACTCTTCTTTGGAATGGGCTTCAAATTCTCATTAACAGGAGTCTTGTAGGAGTATCTTCTACTGATGTCCTTGTCTTCATACATAGGATGATCCTGTAGATCTGCTTTACTTGGTGTTCTTTGCTGTGGTGCACCTGCCATCTGTTTAGAGTGTTAAGTATTTCCAATAACTAATAGAATTCATTTTATCATGCACCAACCTCAGCATCAATTTTTCTGAACTCCATGAGAAGCACTTTGTAAGATGGATTCTTCTTGGCAGAGGATTCATCCAAAGGCAAATATTTTTTTACCAGAGTTGGATGTGTTCTATATAATCTCATATAAATCCTCTCACAGGGTTTCCTAATTTGCTCTGCAGGTTGCTGGATGCCAGATGATGCAAATGCGTAATTAAGAGGTCGACAGTTTGGTGACTTTATTTAGGTCGTCTTTTTTGTAACACTAAGTCGCAAGTCGTTATTACTATCGAAAAAACGTCTCGTATACTTTGTCAAATGTAAAGAAAATTGAGTCTCAAATAATTTTTTCAAATAGAAGTGCTCTGAATAGGTGAACTGAAAATGCAGTTAATCAAATTTTTACATTACAGCACGAAAAAAAAACTTTGAAGTTGAGATAGAGAGGATCAATATACCATCTGTAAAGTGAATCTTTCAATCAGATCAATACATGTACTGTATCTATTATCGCAGTTTCTCCTCATTTTCCATAACATACCATTGCATTGACTTTTTTCTAACTGATAACTTCTTACCTTATCAATATTCAGAGATGAAAGGACCAATGCTGAAATCATGCAAAGTCATCCCTAAACCCCATTTATATACTACTTGAGATGGAAAGCCTTTTCCAATCTCAGCAATGTGAATACATTCATTGGTTTAAGTTGGAAGTTTACCCAGAGCAAGGTGATTGCAAGTGGAAGTAGCTCAGAGTAAATTGAAGATACTCTACTTATAGGCAGAGTTATTGTTAAAGAACACTATTTAAAGGAAAATGAATGATTTCTATAACAAATTCTTGTTTAAGATTTTTCATTTATTTCAGAAACGTTTTCAAACATCTCTTGGAACAAATATTTGATTTTCCTGAAAGGGTTTCCTTTTTGGAATGCTTTGGCCAGGCCATAAAAGCACCCAAGATGTAGGAAACCATTCCCAAAGTACTTGGACAAACCTAAAAAATCATCAGAAATTCACTACACATTCTAAACTAAAAGTATTCTCAATTTAGGGTCCCAAAAAGTTTGTTATAGCAAAATTAAGCATGCTAAAGGATAAAAATAAGAGTCATGTCAATGTTCAGCATTGCCATTCCTGAAATAAAATAGGAAAAATTTCATCTATAGCTTTGACTGCTTGCTTACAAACAGTCAATATATAGAGGAGCTATTTTTGCTGTGACCCCACAGTAGGTGCACACCAGGGTAACAACTGGAGCATATGGGATATTCTGCGGGTACAAGTGTGCACTCCTGTAGAGGAAATTTTGCTACCATTCCAGGGTTAAACTTGGTGCACAAATGTGAAATAACAGGAGCATCACACAAATGCACCAACTGTAACCTTGGTGTAACTTATTTGTTTACAAATGTGACCCTGCGTAATCCTGGTGTGAACACACAATTTGTGCACATTGGGGATATGCATGTGCAACAGAAGAACTTTGGTACACTTCAGGTGCACAACAGGGTCACTGTGTAGAATTACAAACAAATCCCCAGTGTGCACCAATTTCCCCACTCGGGCAGGTAATCAAAAATCATACTGTCTTTCCAAACACATTCATTGATTCATTGGTGGAAAGGTATCACCTTTGAGTTTAAGTTCATGATCATTGCTCACCTGTCTTTAATTTTCTGTACTCCAAGATGTTCCATGAGCTGTTCAGCCATTTCAGCTCTGCATTGACCAGTGGAGACTTGAACATTTTTCTGAAAACCGAACCAGTGTCGAAACCGTTGGTGTGGTCACCGTCGATGAACACCTACCTACCGTCGTGGTTACCATCGGGGGTGTCGATCTGAGACAACAGAACCGTGTCATCTTCGTTAGAACCTGTTGTACACAGGAGTTGTTTTCTGCAGGGAAGTTGTTAGTTCATTTTTGGTGATCCTGGAAAAGATTTCCATTCAAGTATGGTATTGGTTTATTTATTGTGCAATGATAAGTAAAGAAAGCTGGCTCACTTATTATTGTCCAGGAAAGTGCTATAAAGAAGGGTGAAGATCTCTGTGACAGCATAAAAAATGGCCAGTACATTGTCTTTCAAACCCTTGTGGATAACAAATCCAGTGGCCCTGAGTACCTCCACTGGCTTTGGCTTGTTCTTGTGAACATACTCTTCCAGAAACTTCCTCACTTCCTTGTAGCCAGCCTCTTTCTGATTGAATCTCTTGTCATAGATTTTTGACACCTACAAAAAAGAAACAGAAAACAACTGCATGTGCACTTGTTAAATGAGTGAACTGTTCATCATTGTGTCTCATGCCCTGATGTAGAGCCACAAATTTGTGCAATGCTGCACCTTGGTTCCATAAATACATTGTCATGTTTGAAAGGACAACAATTTCTTTTAAACTTATCCCTTGCTGGAATGAGTGTGATTTTGGTCACTACAAGTATAATACTTTTTTGAACTACTGTACATGAGAATTAATCTGGCCAAAGTACTTGAGCAAATTTATTGTTACTGGAGCTTCTGATCATCTTTGTTCTTGACAGAATTTTGACTAGGAAATTAGAGTGTTCTGAAGAGTATATGCACAAATATAGTAAAAAGTGAAACAGGAGTTGACATGAACAATATTCCTCACTGTTCTGATGCCAAAGACTTCAATTGGCAAAGCAGCTTCTTTCTTCTGAGCCTCTGGGAGTTTAGCAAATGCTCTGTCTGATTCTTCATCAGCCAGTGCTGAGGCTCTGTTGGAAAATGACTTGCCCACTACTCCAAGTCCCAGAGTGGCACCAGCTGCTGCCCTAGAATTTAAACCCGTGCACAAACTCCATGAGTTGATTTTCTCAAAATCTCATGAATGAATGAATGTATGAACAGAACACTTAATTTGCCACTTTTCGGCATTCACAAGGTTCAATCAAGATTTCCTCAACCCTACCCCCTTCCCACCCAACCCAAATCCACTCAATGACATTTAATCACTTCAGAGCACAAAAGCACAAATTGATAACAAAAATAAAAGAAAATACAATACAACATGAAATACAACTGAACATCTGACATGTATCTCATGAAAGCTAATGAGACAAATTACTTAGCTGAGTTGAATCAAGGAGTCAGAAAAATTTGGAATCAGTTTGCATTTCTCAATCACCCTCCAAGTTTCTTGAAATACACTGTTTTTGGCAGAAGATCCTTTGATTTGTCTTAGTACTGATTGCAAATAACTTTGCTCGAACTTATTCAAAATCACCACACCATCATTTGCAAGTAAGTCTCTGCAATTTCTGACATCATAAACCATACACATCAGTCACGAAACGTCTCCTATAGTGATGATAACAGTTGATTTGTTGTCAATCAGAAGGATTTCGAAAAAACAAATGTGACCTCAATATAAGATGCAAAAGCTGGCCTGCCTCAAACAAGTAAAATGAAAACCACAGTCTCCAAAAGTTTGGCTAAAAAATGATAATTTTGAACAAAGACGGACTTACGTGGTAATTTTTCTGTCGTCATAATTTTGGTACCTCGTAGGCAACTGCTGGGTTCTGATGGTGGGTTTTGGTTCCGGTGCAGACTCAGGCTCAGGTTCCTCTTCCACTTCCGGTTCCGGATTCACAATCCCTTCATCCTCCATTGGAATTTCGGGTTCTGGTTCTGGTTCAGGTTCAGGTTCGGGTTCCACTGTTTTCCGCATTCGTTCAGGAATCGGTGGTGGAGGTGTTTTGGGTCCAGGGGAAAGAACCAGGTTTCGTCTCATTTCCGGCGAGAACCGGATCCCAGCGGAAGTGTCCCGCATGTAGGCGGGTTTCGGGGGCAGTGGTGGAGGGGTTCCGGCCATGGATTCGGGTGTGGGCAAGGGACTGGGTCTCCTCATGACTACTGGGGTGGGATCTGGTTCTGGCGTCTTGGGCTTCACCTTTTCGTCTTCTTTGATCTTTTTCTTCTTCACTGGGGGCAGTTCTCCTGCTCTTGGTTCCATCAGGTCATTTTTGGCTATGGGCTGCTTGGTTTGAAAAAAAGGTCATGTGTATAACAGATGAGGTCAAATGCTTCATGCATGGCACTGCCTTTTTCTATTCTCATGATAGGTGTGGGATACTCAAGGTTAACCAGGAAATGCTAAGTTTTAAAGGGGTGTCCAACCATGCAGGTGCTTCAAATTTATTGGACACTTGAACCAAAAATTAAAAAATATCTACCCTTGACATCTGGACAGTATTTCAAAAATGGAAATTCTGCCAAAATTTCTGAAAAAGCAAAACATCATTTGTCACCATTATTCAAGCTTTTGGAAAAATAGAGCCATTGCCATGGACAGCTAGTCAAAATATATCTTACAAATTCCCTGTACTGCAATGTGTTTCCCAAACCAAGCTTACTTTCTGCTCATATCTTTTCAAGAGGTTCCCATGTGTACAAAGTATTAATGAGTGTGTTGCTTTGATTTCTTGAGAAAGATCAGATTATTTTTATAATACCTTGTCTGGACAGTTGATTTCCTTTTCAAAGTTATGATATACATTTTGTTGCATATTTTTCTGGATTTTATTCGTTAACTTTATGCTAAAATAAATGAGAAAATAACTGACAACATATTCCCTCCTCAAAATAAAAATACATTGCACCAAACCAAAACAAAAAAGAGATTGAAAATTTTCCTAATGAAGTTTATATAGGAAAATGTGATCTAACATCATCTGCGTTTTCAAGTTTTATTATTGAAAAATCAAGAGTTATAAAAATAAAGGAAGAATATCTGAGCTATAAAATTCTTTAGACCAGGCTACTGCTCATCTTTTTCATAATTTTTGCCTATAGTAAATCCATTTTGTAAATATAGAAAATGTAAATACAATGCAGAAATATTTTGTTTTGTATATAGAAGTCTGCAGATAAGCTACTAATTTATGTTTTGTACAAGACTCGAAAGAGTTGTGTGAGAACAGATTCAGCTCTTTCAGTGGTGAAAAAGATGGCGGCTATGTTATCAGAAAAACTGATATGTTTTTTCTTCTGGATCATCCAGCACCAAAATCATAATATGGAGAAAAAGTCTGCTTTGTTTCTCAAAAGATAGTTTGCCTTAAACTCACCCCATTAGTTTCCAGAAGGGTATCGATGCCCAGGTCTGTGTAGGCCTCATCTCTTAACTGGGTTTTGGCCCTGGCTTTGGCCTTGGCCTTGTCATATTCCCCGTTGTCCATGGAAATGCGCTTCTCCATTTCCATGGCGCCCATTTTGAGGCCGACCAATTTCAGCGAAGTCTGCGCGTTTTTCAGCTTCCTGGCGTATTCATACCGCTCCACTAAATTTACCAAACCCCCATGAAGAAAGAGAGGCAGAGAAAGAAAGAGAGAGACAGAAAGAGAAATAGAGAGAAACAGAAAGGGACAGAAAGAGAGATATTGAGTTATATAGTTTTCTCTTTCCACACCAAAAATATTCTAGGCAACAATTTCACAAATTTCAGGAAGGTATCCCAGTAAAACTCTCCAGACTTTGTATGAAACAAGTGGAAAAATCTCTTGCCATCATCAAAAAACTAAATCAATTTAAAAATTTTTGTTTTTGTTTTAGAAGGTAGGGTAAGTTCAGAAAATTTCTACATTTTTCCCCTTTCCTGGGCAAAATGTAGAAATTTTGCAAGCATTTTTTGTTGCATTTTCTGAAAATTCAGTCAACCCCAGGATAACAGACCTCCAGCACAACAGACTTTTGAACAATAGACTGCATCTGGAGGCAGTTTTCCCTCCTTTGCAAGTGACTAAATCTGCATAACAGACTTCTGTTGGTTTAAAATTATTGGTAAAAGGTGAAATCTATACACTTTTTTTGAATGAATTTGCATAACAGACTTTTCACATGAAAGAATTTTTCATGAAAGACTTTTCATACACAACAGACTAGACCAAGGTAAAATTCAAGTCCATTGTGCAGGGGCTGACTGCATGATATCTTTTAGGCTGAACTCTGAAGCAAGTATTTTTCTATTGAGATCTTTAGGGAATTTGTTAGATCTACCTACTTTATGGCCATGATGTTTTTTTATATGTAAATGAGGGATGATAAATCACTCTGAAAATGTAGGAAATTAGTGATTGGTGAACATTTCTATACAAATTTTTTCTTGAAATACATTAAGCCAAAACCCCCCACCTGAAAACTCTGGCCTATTTTCAAGGGTCTGAATCCCTTGAGAAATGACTCAGTTGAGAGATTATTCACAAGTACAGTGGCACCCCGCCTAACAGACCTCCTGTGTAAGGGATTTTTGCCAAACAGACCAGCTCTGCAAGCAGTGTTTCCTCCCACCCAACAGATAAAATCTGCCAAACAGACTTCTTTTGGATTAAAATTAGTGTTGAAAATTGAAATTTTTAATGTTTTATATTAATTGAATTCGTGTAAAGGACTTTTCATCCAACAGACTCGTCCCTTGCACAAATCAAGTCCGTTAGATGGGGTTGACTGTATTCAGCTTGTAAAAATGCATTTCTTACCTATGCAATAAGCTGGCTTTGTCCCCATTATTAAATTCAGTTATATTTTAGAGCATTTTTAATTAATTAATTTTCCAGCAAACAATTAAAGAATAAAGTTCCATTAAATTACCTCTGACAGCCACCTGCTTCCTGTACTCCAATTTTCTTCCAAGTTCCACAATTTCAGGGTCCATGTACATGTTATAAGCCAAATCATCATAAGGAGAAGTCAGATCCTTGTCATTGCCAATGGATAAAGTGTCTGTTCCCTTGAGGACCTTGCTGGAAGCTAATTCAGAATCCTCATGTGGTTGAAACTCTTCTGAAGGGTGGTGTCCAATCACATTAACTCCCAAAAGAGCCACCTGGAAATATGTGAATAATATTTCAAACATCATTTCATTCAGAAAGGCATTCTTGCTGTCACCTGATTGAATTTGTTCTGCTTATTGTCATAATTCTTGTGGACTACGAGCTTGATGAAACTGCCTGTGGCTTCCAAGTTGACAGTCTTGAATTCTCTTGCCTTGAACTGGGTCTTCTCATTGCTGTCCAAGATCAGTGATCCAACTTTGGCAAATCCTGCATTCTCAAGGTCTACCCTCACACCATCAGGTGAGTCTCCAACCTCAATCTCAATTGATTCAGCTAGTAAAAGATACAATCAATTCCTATCCATCATTCAAAAACACATAAGATTCATGGAAGCTAAGTATTTTGTATCAAAAGGTGACATACAGTACTTCTGGTGACATAGCGTATTCTCAATCTCTTCCACTGGGTCATTTGAAGTTTGAGTCACATTATTAGAATAAAAATTTTGCATCAAAAAATCAAATGATTAATTTATTTAAAACCATGTATGAATGGCATATGGCTTACATGAATAGTTTTTTGCATGAATGCTACTTGTAGGCAACTTTTAAATGATATAAACTTGAAGAATAAAACAAATTTGTTCCAGGATTAGCTTTGTTCTTCCATACAGAATTTTTTATGTGTTATACAGCAACACATGTTTCATGCTTTTTCATGCTTTGAAGTGATTGAATGTCTTTGGGGGGAGTTGGGTTGGGTGGGGAGGGGTTTTGGATGCGGGAGTCTTGGTTGTGCCTTGTGAACGCTGAAAAGCGGCAAATAAAGTGATATGTTCATTCATTCATTATACAGCAATAAAAATGTTTTTCTTTACTCTGAACACTCACAAAGCATTTCAGCTTCCTGAAATTTACATTCATGTACTGTAGAATAGGTTTGTCACTTTTTTCTTTCATTGCTTCAAAAGTTTAATCAAGATTTATTTTATTTGATACATTTCTGGACTGGAAACTTGTTCTATTAGACTGAATTTTACCTATCACAAGTAACTGATTTTGCACAAGAAAATTATTTCAAATTATTTTTTCTCTGTGTGTTTCTTTGTCATTGCAATGAGCCACTGTACTTGAGAAGCTTTTTGTAGTTTTAGGCTTCACCTTAAAAATAATGAAACCAAAACTATTTTGTCTGGTTAGGATTTTTGATCAGTAAGAAATACGTTTTGTTAGTGAAAATAAGATTATTATGACTCTGATGCTGGTTTCATGATGTGTTTGGTGAAAATTTATAACTTTTTAGGATTGAGCAATTCAAATGTATAGCACAATGTTATACTAACGTATGAATACTGAATGAGAGAGGAATTGCAGCTTTCTGATGCAGCTTCTCTCTTCAAGCTGCAACACCAAAGTTTGAGGGTATAGACAAAACTTTGCAGACTGCCACCCAACAGCATCAGGAGCCTGGTGATTCAGACCCACTGCTGGATATCCTTCATCCTCACCTGCAAAAAAATAATTTTCTCACATTTCAAATTTGAAGGGGGTATCACCATGAATCAAACCTACTAGTTGACTTTGCCACAAGGAAATTTATCCTCTTGAGTTTCCCTGGCTCCTCCCACATGGAGGCAAGACTTTTCTTCTGACTCCCACTCAGGGTCTTGGAAGGCGCCATGTTGGAAAACGTCAACACTTTTCAAATACTGTGATTCTGCCAATGTTTCAAAAATAATTTGAAGTGGTTATATATACAAGATTTCACCTAAAGTGCAGTACTTGAAGCTTGTCACAGCGAACAAGTATTTCATTCAAAAGTTCAATTGATTGCCCATTCTTGACCTTTGCCGATATTGATTTTGAAAGCAATTGTGTGTGACAGAAACCAATCTGCTCCTATGACAGGTCAATCATGTCAGCTACCTCTGCATGGAGGTAATCTTTTCATGCTTTTGTAAAACATGAGTAAACTCAACTGATCTAAGAATCAGATTGTGATCCCAATCAAAGCATTAAATTGAAGTAAGATGAGAGTCTGAAGGAAACCAATAAGTGGATCATTTCAACAATGGCCTAAAATAAACTAGAATGAGAAAACTTCTTAACAGAAAGCAGATTCTACTGCTATATCTTTCAGATAGAAACATGTTCACATGGTAGACACAAATAAATGATACAAAGCAAACATGAAGAAATGACAAACGCCTGTTCAATGTCATCATAAATCCCTGTTTTGGGAATTTGTTATACTCCAGACTGTGTAGCAAGTTCCTCCTTAATGAGACTTTGATGAGACAGGTACCAGCAAAACAGCTCAGTATGGGGAGTTTAAAAGTTTGCAAAACCAACAGTTTTGAAAAATGAAAAATGTGAATTAAAAATTGGTAAAATTTGTGAACATCTGGTTCTCAAATTTCTGGATTAATGAATTCCACAGGAGCCCAAACCTTACATCAAAGGTATATTTGCCCAATTAGTCACTCATTTCTGTTCAAAAAGGATTCTTCCATCTCTATTGCTCTTCTCATTTCTATATCCCTAAAAATACCAAATGGCCTGTGGAAATTTAGGTTCAAAGAGGTTTGAAGGGAGAGCTCATTGAGTTAGAAATTTCCAACCCACATTCTGAATTCAGGAAAAGAATATAAAAAAAGTTGTCATAGAGGATTCTTTTGACATGAGGAGGTTGGAGCTAGTAAGGTTCAATTGTCATAGATGTGAAATATCCACAAAAATTTCACCAAAAACTGATCACTTGCTCAAACAAGAACTTGCACACAATTCCTCCATCAGTTGATAACAAAGAGAAGAAAATCCATTGGCTCCTGGTGGAGTTCTTTGACTCCAAATGCCATCAACACCAGCCACTGCCACAGTTATTCACCTGGGTCTAAAGAAATAAATGAATGGTGGGGCCACGAAACTAGGTGTGACCTTGCACATTGCATTGATCCACTGTCAGTGTTTGGGTGCTGTGAGAGGTCAGCGCTTGCTGGACGCACCAGGGCAACTTGCTGCCATGCTTTATTGATGCCCTGGCAACCATCCCAGACCTCATTCCCCATTTTGGGGTAAACCTGCATAAATTAATCTCTCTGGAACAATAAAAAGAGGTTACCCGTTCTATGAGTGCAATCTACACAACATAGAAGGAAAATTTAATTTACACCTTAAGAGGAAAGTATGTGAGGGACACTGTTTGAATTTGTACGTAAATTGGTGATCAGCTACACACTACAAAATATCTCATAGTACAGTGATACTTCAACATGCAGACACCTCAACATGAAGACAATTCAACAGAGGGGCTTTTATTTTCAATAAAAAAGGCATAAAAAGACCTGACATGCAGACCCTGACTTTACATGTGGACATTGTATGATAAAATTGCCAATTAGTTTCAGGAAAACTTACTTTTATGAGGCTGAATTGTAAGAAGCATATACTGTATTTTCAACCCCAAGATCGATGCAAGAACAACTCTTTTGTACAATTTTCCTCCATCATTTCCCCATCCATTAAGCTAATAAAACAAAATTACCTCCAGCATAGAGGGACTTCCTTCTCTCTTTGTGACTCAGATGTTATTTTTAGAGATGCCAATATTTCAATGTACAGTACTGTACTGTACAGAGGTACAATAAGCAAAGCTCCAAATGCTCTTATTGAATTGAAATATATTCACCTAATCAATTTCAATCTGCAGACCATTTTTTTCATGGAATTCTGAAGAATATTTCTCCATAAAACACGAATTAAAATTTTTACAATGTAAGTCTATCAGAAAACCAGACTCAACTTTGGGACACTTTGACTTAGGGACACTCTTGATAAACCAAATACATCTGCATCTTGGAGTCGCACTGTATTTGAAAGGTCTCAATTTGTCCTCAATTCACAATTTTCATGGTTTTAAATTTTTTTAAGGATTATAACAGACATTGATGGGATATTTGATTTTCACACACATTTATCCAATCTGTCCAGCATAAGTATTTTTGAAAGGGTATGGGATACTACTTCACCAAAATTTGGCAGGTAATCTTGAGAACTTGTGCAAAGGAGAATTGTAGTTGATCAAGCTAGAAAAAATAATTGTAATTGAAAACGTATGATGTGAGTTCCATACCCATCATGCAATCATCTATTTTTTGTGTGTGTGAACATTTTTCACTTTTCAATGCAGTATTTTGTTCACTCTCCCAGCATGATGGAAACATTTTGGTGATAAATTCAAGAATTCCCAAAAAAAAAAATTATGCTGTGCACAGGAAAATGAAAAAATGCGCTTTGCTGCCCTGAATATGGAAAGCTTCTCTATAATGGATAGTAAGTTGGCAACTTTGAAAGCACTCATTGGATGGCATCCATCTTGGAACATACGAGAAAAATTCGTCGGCAGCTCACACTAACTTAAAACAGCATTATTGTTCATCATAAAGTCTAATTTACTTTTGTAACATTTGATACATAAATTATTCAACTTTCACTCTTTATAATTTAGATAATCTTGTGTATTTCCATGCAATTGCCAAAAAGAAATGATTAATAATAAGGCGAAATTTTCTAGTGTTCAATACCTAATCATGCTCTATTCTCTACTTCGTGTAACATATATGAGTACCCTGAAGTAATTCAATTTTTTCATGCCTCAGCCGTGGTACTGGAAATTAGCTTTTCATGAAAACTTTGTGCCAAAAGAATATTAAAAAGTGGATAACTTGAAATGAAAAAGCCCCGGTAGTTTTCTCAGCAGAAGCGCCAGGTTTTTGTAAGCAGCGACACCTAGGCACAAAAAGATGGAAATTTTGAATCGTTTTCCCCCGGCGCCGCTCGAGAAGTCATCTTCAATCATTACGTCTGAACTCTGAAGTGGTATAGATGGAGCCTCCCCCAGAAAATGAGGGTAGATGGGGATTGCATTTCAAATGCGAAAGCATGATGGAAGAGGGAAGAAACCCAGTTGGTCCTGTCTGACATTTTGATGGATGATAGATGACCCTAACTCCGAGTTGTGTGCAAACTTACCAAGGATCCAAGTATAGGACAAGGGCTGCTGGAACCGTTGCATTTACGAATCCATCTCAAGACTGGAATAATTAGATTACTCCAAACTTCGTTTGCTCTTGCTTTTGTGCAAATACAAGGGTTGATTCAAAAGTTTTGATACTTCTTGATGAATCCTAAGGAGTTTAAACAATTTCAATCATGATTTTTTTCTTGCATTAAATAGCCCAAAGATTTGGCAACACTTCTGTCACAGCCCAAGTGGGGAGCTATTCTTTGTTTGACCCCACAACTGGTGCACACTAGGGTCACAACTGGTGTACATGGGCTATTATGTGGTTACAAGCATGCACCTTTGTTGATGAAATTTTGCTACCATTCCAGGGCTACATTTAGTGCACAAATATGACATAACAGGTGTATCAAAAAAATGCACCAACTGTAACCTTGGTGTAACTTATTTATTACAAATATGACCCTGAGTAACCCTGATGTGAACACACAATTGGTGCACATTAGAGATACACATGCACAACAGAACAACTTAAGGTACACTTCAGGAGCACAGCAGGGTCACTATATGGAAATACAGACACATCCCCAGTCTGCGCCAATTTCCCCACTCAGGAGGATGACTAGATGCTGCCTGCTGATGTGCCATTTAACTTGGGCCTACTAGATGTCACCCAAGTGGAGAAGGTACTGCAGAGTATGATAGAACAACATGGCATACAAAACACCAGATCATCATTGTATTGGAATATTCACCCTTTTACAAATATGAAACTTATCAACAGAAAATACAAACAGAAATATAAAACATACTTCTTTGGAAAACCATCAACCAACCAGCCTTGGAGATGATGATCTCCAGGGCTTATTCCACTTGTATGAATCAGCCATGTGATCAAAAGGATCTAACTGGAATTTTGGACAGAAATAATTATAGTAGATTAAAAAATTAATCTAAAAAACCACATTTTCAAAAAGCAAAAAATAACCTTAAATGTGGTGCGCATCTATTTCATTTGTATTTCACTTCTTCCCAACAATCTCCATGCGCACCACGTTTAAGGTTATTTTTTGCTTTTTGAAAACGTGGTTTTTTAGATTAATTTTTTAATCTGCTATAATTATTTTATTATTTTTAAAAAATATTCTTAAAATTAATTTTTTCACAAAAGATTGCATTGTCATCAGTTTCTAGGCTATCCTGAAAATTTCAGCTTGATAGCTAGTTGGGAAGTGAGTGAAATTTGAGTTTCAAAATTTGATCCGGACAAACAAACAGACAAGAAAGTGAGTTAAAAAAAAGTGTTAATTAATTTTTAAAAAAAATGTTCCAGGGAGTGGGATTGAACTCGGACCTCTGCGACCAATTCAGTTCACCATGGGTTTTTTTCTTGGGGCCAAGGAAAACCTGCTCAAAGTTTTATTATAGAAATCTACTATAATTATTTTATTCTTTTTAAAAAATATTCTTAAAATTAATTTTTTCACAAAAGATTGCATTGTCATCAGTTTCTAGGCTATCCTGAAAGTTTCAGCTTGATAGCTAGTCAGGAAGTGAGTGAAATTTGAGTTTCAAAATTTGATCCGGACAAACAGACAGACAGACAAGAAAGTGAGTTCATAAAAACGTGGTAATAAAATTGGACACACACCAGTGGAAAGCCTTGAAT